CCCTCTGAGTAGACCTATTGCAAAATGATCTGATTATCAATATTTAAGATTTAGAATGTCTGCTGAAGGTGACAGTGTTGTCTTAGCTATGAATTCTTTATGACAGACATTTTATACCAGGACTAGTTTGTTTCTTAAAGCCATTCTGTATCAATTTATAGGAAGACATAGGCTTTTCTGTTTCCTGAGAATAAGCGGACTCATCTAATAAATCTTTTTTTTTTTTAAAGATAGTGTCTGGCTCTGTTTCCCAGGCTGGAGTACAATGGCGCCATCTCAGCTCTTTGCCCGCCTCTTGGACTCAAGACATTCTCCCACTTCAGCCTTTCAAGTACTTGGCACGTGCCACCACATCTGGATAATTGTTTTTTTCTTTTTTTGGAGAGATGGCATTTCATCATGCTGCCCGTGTTGGTCTTGAACTCCTGAGCTCAGGTGATCTGTCCACCTTGGTCTCCCAAAATGCTGGGAATACAGGTGTGGCCCATGCTTGGCCTAGTAAATCTTTAAAAGCAGATCAGATCTTTCAGAATGAGTTTAAAAGAAGGGTTTAAAACATAGCCTTGATTCCTGCAGCATTACTAAAATGCTTATTTCTTTTGAGAAATACTGAGCTAATGTTTTGGCTTCCTATAAAAATAATTTCTCTTCTTCTAAGTACTTTTTTGATAATGTTGAAGTATTTTCAAAACTTAATGTTTAAATACTACTTCAGATATTTTACTTCATCACAGTTACTCTGTCCTTCTAATTAAGCACATCCTAATAGACTTGTTATTTGATTGAAAGAACTAATTCACTGTATTTAATAATCTGAAGCCTTTGTAAGGCTACTGTTATCTTAGGTTACTAAAATTCGGCCAGGCATGGTGGCTCATGCCTGCAATCACAGCACTTTGGGAGGCCGAGGCAGACAGATCACTGAGGTCAGGAGTTTGAGACCAGCCTAGCCAACATGATGAAACCCCATTTCTACTAAAAATACAAAAATTAGCTCGGTATGGTGGTGGGTGCCTGTAATCCCAGCTACGTGGGAGGCTTAGGCAGGAGAATTGCTTGAACCCAGGAGGCGGAGGTTGCAGTGAGCTGAGATTGTGCCCTTGCACTCTAGCCTGAGCGACAAATCTAGACTCCATCTCAAAAAACAAAAAACAAAAAAAATTCTGAGTGGAGTCATAGGTTTTGTGGGTTTTAGAGGGATTCATTCCTTAGGTCTGGTGCAGTAAAATAGAGATGAAGAAAGACTCAAAAGTTGTTAAGTTTAAAATCCCTTGATGCTATACTGGTAGTTTCCAATTGAAGAAGGTGCTATTAAGTTGAGGAATACATTTCCCCATTCTTCAGAAGCAGTAGAAATGATAGTTAGCTTGGACAGTACCTTGCAGTCCCCCTCAATCCCAACAGCTGCTGGAAGTGGGAAAGGAGGTGTATTAGTCCATTCTTACATTGCTGTAAAGAACTACCTGAGACTGGGTAATTTATAAAGTAAAGAGGTTTAATTGGCTCACTGTTATGCAGGGTGTACAGGAAGCATTGCTGGGAAGGCCTCAGGAAACTTACAGTCATGGGGAAAGGTGAGGGGGAAGCTAGCACCTCTTGCGTGGCTGGAGCAGGAGGAAGTGCTACACACTTTGAAACAACCAGATCTCACAAGAACTCACTATCACAGGACAGCACTGGGGGGGAGATGGTGCTAAACCATTGAAACCATTGCCATGATCTGATCACTTCCCACCAGGCCCCACCTCCAACATTGAGAATTACAATTGAACACAGATATGGGTGGGGACATAGAACCAAAGTATATCAAGAGACTTAGAATAAGAAAACCACACCAAACACACATGAGGAATCAGGAGCCTTAGAGTGTGCTCTTTATTCTGTTGCCAACTCTGTGTCATTATGTGTGAGACATTTGACTCCTCGAGCTCTTAGATTACTCATCTGTTTTTAATTAATGGTATCTGAGGCAAGCCCTCGTTCTGTCACCCAGTCTGGAGTGCAGTGGCACTATCACAGCTCACTAGCAGCCTGGACCTCCTGGGCTCAAGTGATCCTTCTTCCTCAGTTTCCTGAGTAGCTGGGACTATAAATTTGTGCCATCATTCCTGGCTAATTTTTTATTTTTGATAGAAACTGGATCTCACTGTGTTCCCAGGCTGGTCAAACTCCTGAGCTCAAACAGTCCTCCCACCTCAGCCTCCCAAATTGAGATTGCAGGCGCAAGACACCACACCTAGCCAGATTACTCATCTATAAAATGAACGGATTGGGCAAGATCATTTCTAAGATTCTTTTAAGCTCTGATGTCATATGATTGGGATTTTTGGATTCCTTAGTTAGCTTTTGGGCAGGAATTTGGATGGCAGAGCTGTGTAGGTGGTCAAATACTTTGTACTTACAGCCTTTTCATATTACCGTGAGTTATCAGTTCAAATTGAATGACGAAGAGCTCTTGCATTCTCACAAAAATTTTTAGTACTTTTACAGAATCTTCAGTTTTATAATGCAGGTTATTAAATATCTTATTTATATAAAAAAATAGGACAAATAACAAATGCATGGAGGCCAAAAAAAAAAATCTTATTTTATAGACTCTTGTGCCCTTTTGACACCCCTCTATAATTCTTTTTAAGTACTTCATTGTTTTCTTGTACTAAAAGATGTTCCAGGCTTCTCTTGTAATTTTCCTGTCCTAGCCCTGGAGTCAGCCAGTTTCCCAAGGAATCCTGATTCTGTTGCGGGGGAATGGGCTTGGCGTTCCCCATGGGCATCTCCCACTTGTGATGGGCAGAGCTAGGAAATGTTTTGTAGTTGTGTAATATCTCTAGTTACAATTCGCTATCACAGGGCTCTTTTTCTTCTCAGATTAGATTTGTGTATTCCTTCTCTCACAGTTTAAGTCATGACACCCAGCAATATCAGTGTACTTACTCATTTGCTCAGTGCTGTAATACATTAAAGTAGTTTCAGGATTTTCATCAACAATACTATCAACAAGAAACTTACTGCAAAAATTTATAGATTTCTTTGTAATTCTCTTTATCTTCAGAATATATCCTACTGAAGATGTAAACTCAAGTACTCTTAAAGAGGCTACTCTCTGTTACAGTTTGCCTGAGTGCTCCTTTCTTCCTCCTTCTCTCTCTTCCCCCCCATGCAGAGTAGGCTCTCAGTAAATGTTTGCAGAAAGGCAGTCTGTACCTTTCTTTAGCTGTTTCTGTCCAGTAGTACTTTCCTGAGTCAAACTAATTGTCAGTTTTATGGGAGTTAAGTATACTTAACTACCAAAAGCATTAATGGCCTGAGCAAACAATCATATAAATAAATGAATAAATAAAATATATGTTATCAATCATTATTGAATATACAATTTTATATAACAATAAATAAATATGTAAGTAAAATAACAGTATATACTTATCAAATGCTATTATATAACCCTTAGGTTGTAAGCTCATTTTATATATATGTTTACATAGCCTTTATTGCTTACGTATAATTTTTAATTTAATTTATAGAACCTAAGGCCCTTATTTCTGGTCTCAGTTTCAGCCAGTGTTTCTCATTAGAATCATTAAGAGATGAGGAGTTGTGGTTGTTTTCTTTTATTTTTTCTTTTTTGGTTTTTTCAGCCAACTCATTTCAAATAAGAAATTGTGGTTTTCAACTTTATTTTTTTATTTTAAGAATTGGGAGGCATACAAAAGCTATTATTTGTGATTTTTCTTTTGTATTGTCATAATAGATTCTAAGGTGTACAACTTCTAGTTAGGCATTAAAAAAAATAAGGCTGATAGAATAACCACTGTGGGCTAGGTGTGAGGGTAGATGCTGGGGAGAGGAAGAAGTGGGAGGATAGTATTGGGTGGAGGGAAAGGTATAGAGCTATATGTTTATTTGAATTTAGGTCAGTGAAATCTAAGTGTAGTCTGGGGAAATTAAATTTTCTAGTACTGGCTGGGCATGGTGGCTCACTCCTGTAATCCTAGCACTTTGGGAGGCCAAGGCAGGCAGATCACTTGAGGTCAGGAATTCAAGACCAGCCTGGCCAACATGGCAAAACCCTATCTCTATTAAAAATACAAAAATTAGCAGGGTATGGTGGTGCATGCCTGTAGTCCCAGCTATTCAGGAGGCTGAGGTGGGAGAATTGCTTGAACCTGGGTGGGGGAGGTTGCAGGGAGCCAAATTGCACCATTGCACTCCAGACTGGGCAACAGAGTGAGACTCCATCTCAAAACCACTTTTCTGGTACCCAGTATAATTATGTTACTCGTTCTTTTTGTTTATTTAATAAGTGATTCTTTAAAATAGCTGTTTTTGTTTAAAAAGTATGTTTTAGTCAGCCACATTGACAGAAATATATAATTGTTCATGTTCTTTGGTATTATGTATCTGTGATGGAGAAAAATATTAATATTGGTGCAGCCAAATATTGTTCAGTTCTAGTTATTCTTTAGGCGAGTCTCTGTTGGAAAAATTACTAAATTAATTATGGTTTTGCCTCATCATATATTAAAGAAAACAGCTATCATATATTAGAGAAAATATGAGTTGAAACATTTTTCCTTTCACTGAGATGATCACTGTTTCTTTAAACTGAAAACATATTTGAAGAAAAGCCCAGGAGTCTTAGGATTTCCTAAGGTATGTTTGAAATACCTTTAAAGTATTTTAAGGTGTTTTTAAAAGAAAGCAAGACTTTTAAACATTTTTATTTGATTGGGTTATATATGTCTGTTAAATATGTATATATATATTAGATCTTATTACAATTAGGCATTTTTTTTTCCTCACTTTTTCTTTGTTAATTTTTAGTGGCCCTATTTAAACTTAAATCTCTAAGTAGGACCTTCAGGGATATTTGGTCATTCTAGCATCTTTTTTTTGCATAGATATTTTCATAGACATAATAAAGTCGTAGTTCTCTATATTTTTATCAATGATTTTAAAAAGCTGAAATCCTTTGAAAGTAATGCTTTTCATTTTTATTACAGGTAAATTGGGATATTCACAATGTACAGAAACAGAGGTAAGTGAAATACTCAAATATTTCTTAGTAAAGCAGCTCTGTAATCCTGTTTAGACTAACCTAAGGACTGAACTATCTCACTACAGGTTCTTGGTCTTCTGCTAAGATTTTTTTTTTTTTTTTTTGAAATGGAGTCTCACTCTGTTGCCCAGGCTGGAGTGCAATGGTACAGTCTCGGCTCACTGTAAGCTCCGCTGCCTGGGTTCAAATAATTCTCCTGCCTCAGCCTCTCAAGTAGCTGGGACTACAGGTGTGTGCCACTATGCCTGGCTAGTTTTTGTTTTTTTAGTAGAGATGGAGTTTCACTGTGTTGGCCAGGCTGTTCTCAAACCTTTGACCTTATGATCCGCCCACCTTGGCCTCCCCAAGTGCTGGGATTACAGGTGTGAGCCACTGTGCCCAGCTTTTTTTTTTTTTTTGAGATGGATTTTTGCTTTTGGCACCCAGGCTATAGTGCAATGGTGCAATCTTGGCTCATTGCAACCTCTTCCTCCTGGGTTCAAGTGATTCTCTCACCTCAGCCTCCTGAGTAGCGGGGATTACAGGCACCCACCACCATGCCCAGCTAATTTTTGTATTTTTAGTAGAGATGGGGTTTCACCGTGTTGGCCAGGCTGGTCTCAAACTCCTGACCTCAGGTGATCCACCCGCCTCGGCCTCCCACAGTGCTGGGATTATAGGTGTGAGTCACTATACCCGGCCCTGATAAGATGTTTTGAGAGCAAGTATATGTTTTTTAGATTTAGGAAGAGTAAAATGTGAAGAAAAATTAGTTGCCTTCTCCATATTTTAATAATGTCAGGGTGTGTTATCAAGAATAGCTTAATTATCATTTTAAAATTTAACCATATTACTATTTGCAGAATTGAGTTAGCTAACATCCAGAGCCCTTAGTAATTTCAGGTTTTTTTCATAATTCAGTATAGCGTGTCACATAATAAATACAGCATTTAAATGTGTTAGACTCCATTGGAGCTACCTTAATTTAGGAAAAATTAGGGACTTGGAAACAGTGTTTTAGTAAGATTAGTAATAAATTCAGTGATTTTTATTTATGCAAGTAGGTTTATTATTTTTTCCTAATCTTAATTTTATTCAGATTTCTGATTGTGAAATCTAAGGGGTTTCTGTGTGTTTGTTGAAGGGATTTCAAGCATAATACTGAAATACGAGGGCAGCGTATATGTGTGGTGTTCTTTTCAGTAGCAGTTTCATCATCCTTGGATTGGGGGTGTTAGGTATTTTGTTGATGGCAATGCCTGAATAAAGGATTTAAGAAGTTGTATTTCAAATTTTATAATGCATCTACATATTGATGTAGGTTTTAGTAAATTGTAACTTGTTTTAAATGAAATGCAGGCTTCCTAAGGGATTATATTGTATAATAGAGAAACGAAAGTAACTTATCCCTTTTTGCAATCATTTTTGTATTTTCTTTTTTTTTTTTTTTCCTGAGGCAGAGCCTTACTCTGTCTCCCAGGCTGGAGTGCAGTGGCACAATCTTGGCTCACTGCAACCTCTGCCTCCCAGATTCAAGTGATTCTCCTGCCTTAGCCACCGGAATAGCTGGGACTACAGGTGCCTGTCATCATGCCAGGCTAGGTTTTGTATTTTTAGTAGAGATGGGGTTTCACCATGGCGTTTATACTTTGTCTTAAAAGCGTACCATGGAGTTTTTGGAGGCTGTTTTGGAGGTGTGAGGAAGACTTGTCAGAATGACTGCAGAAGCAGATGAAATCCAGCCTTTTTTTTTTTTTTTTTTTTTTTTTTTCTTGGAGGCAGGGTCTTGCTCTGTCACTCAGGCTCAAGTACAATGGCATGATAATGGCTCACTGTAGCCACAACTTCCTGGGTTCAAATCATCCTCCCACTTCAGCCCCTTGAGTAGCTGGGGCTACAGGTGCACGCCACCATGTCTGGCCGTTTTTTTAATTTTAATTTTTGTTTTTTTATAGAGATGGGGTTTGCCTTGTTGCCAGGCTGGCCTCCAACTCCTGAGTTCAAGCAATCCGTATGCCTCGGCCTCCCAAAGTATTGGGATTACAGGTGTGAGGCACCCTGCCCAGCTCTGGCTGTCTTTCATTGGGCTTGACATTAAAGGGTTTTGTAAAATGTAAAACAATTTCACCCTTCTCACTTTTTATTTTCTGACATGGAGTCTCCCTCTGTTGCCCAGGGTGGAGTGCAGTGGTGTAGTCTCGGTGCACTGCAACCTCGTCCTCCCAGGTTCAAGCAGTTCTCCTGTCTCAGCCTCTCAAGTAGCTGGGATTACAGGCCCATGCTACCACGCCCAGCTGATTTTTGTATTTTTAGTAGAGATGGGGTTTCACCGTGTTGGCTAGGCTGGTCTCAAACTCCTGACCTCGTGATCTGCCCTCCTTAGCCTCCCAAAGTGCTGGGATTACAGGTGTGAGCCACCTCGCCTGGCCTCACTTTTTTAAATGTAGTTTTTTCCTTTATGTTATTAACATTTAATGGGCTTAAATGAATTAATACATATTTTAAATATTTATTGGTTTTAATTTGTACTATAGTAAATGTTGATATATATAAACAAAAGCTTTTTGGGCTCATCTAATTTTCTAGTGTGTAAAGAGGTTGTAAAACCAAAATTTAAAGGTTTGAGAGCTGTGGTATGGGAGCACAGATGGCAGAGGTACTTCTTCCCGAGACACAGAATCAGGAGGTAGAAGGAGACTAGAGTCCTGGGGTAGGCAGTAGGAAGCCCAGGCATGCTTTCCATGTGGGTTTAAGCCTTTTTTTGTCAGCAAGAAGGCAGGCTGATTTCTGAGTCTGAGGTTATCCTGGATCACAAAGGGGATTGCTAGAGCCTCTCGGCTCTTAAATTATTTTTCTATTGAGCAAAGAGAGATCCCCATTCTCTCTGTAAACCCCTCATTGAACTCTTGCCAGTGTTAAGTCCAGACTAAGAGCTGTGTAGTAGCTGCCTCAGGGATGAGGCTGACTGGTATTCTGGAGCAGCCTGTTCAGCCTTTCTGAATTCAGAGAGGCTTTGTCAGGTGGCCTTTGTGCCCAGGTTCAGCTCGTGGTGCCTCCCTTTCCTTCTCACTTCTCTGTCTCAGATTCTCCATTGAGGGTGATGGTTGCAAAAATTATTATTTTTTGAGACAGTCTTGCTCTGTTGCCCAGGCTGGAGAGCAGTTGCATGATCTTGGTTCACTACAGCCTCCACCTCCTGGGTTCAATTGTTTCTCCTGCCTTAGCCCCCCGAGTAGCTGGGATTACAGGCTTTAGCCACCATGCCCGGCTAACTTTGTATTTTTAGTAGAGATGGGGTTTTGCCATGTTGGCCAGGCTGGTCTCGAACTCCTGACCTCAGGTGATCCGCCTGCCTCAGCCTCCAAAGTGCTGGGATTACAGTCATGAGCCACAGGTGTCCGACTGCAAAAATTATTTACAATTTATTTAGCATCAAGCCTAGCTGAATACATGCATCGTATTATGTGTCATTCACTGTTGGGAAGTGTAAGATTTTCTGGGAGCAAGAAGGAAGTACTTCTTAAGCAAGGCTTACAGACTCCCAGGGAAAACAAAGTATCTTTATGGAGTTTTAGAACCCTCATCAAGTCATATAATTGAAATAGAGAACATCAGTTCACTGTTTTTTATTTTAATAGTTTTTATAATACATAAAAATCATGTTATGAATTATTTCGTAGTTTTACTTACAACTCTTTTTAGTACTTTTACTGTATTCATAAAAATTAAACTAAAATCATGAGTTCTGAGAAAGCAGTGAGCTCACATATAGGTATTTGATTAACTTTTTTTCTCTTTTTTTCTTTTTTCTTTTTTTTTTAAAGCTAAACCTTGAAGCATTGATTAACTTTTATGTGGTCTTTTACCTCAAGATAAGCTAATGTTTCTTAAAATTAAGTATTTTACCTATTTCTTACTGTTTGTAAAATGTTTTAATGTAGTTGATTATACTACTTTTCAGCACTCAAACTCATGAAGGGAAATCTGTCATATGATTTGTTTTAAATGATATGCAAATTTTTTACATTAATAGGCAATTTAATTTGTCCCTATAACTTTTTCTGTTTTTTAAAGGTATAATTTATATATGGCAAAACTTACCCCTTTGTATTTAGTTCTTTGAGTTTTGACAAACATATTTTGTTAACTATCCCCACAATCAAGTTTTGTCACTTCCCTAACTTCCCCTCTGCCGCTTTGTAGTTAGCCCTTCCCCTCCTCCTAGCCCCTGGCAGCCACTGCCCTGTATGTTGTCCTTACAGTTTTGAGAAGGACATGTAATTTAAACAGCATGTCCCACATTTTTCCCTTCCCAGTAGTGGCTCACAGCTTAGACTATTAATTTATAAATGAATGACTAACCTTTACTTGTGGGCACTTGGCTGTCATGGAAGCAGTTCAGATCTAGATTTAACGGTAGCTTTTTTTCCAATTTTACAAATTTTTCCTACTGCCATTGTTTAAATAGTTTTGTGGATTATAATCTTACTTTGGAAGAAAATTGCTAAATCTTTGAAAATACTAAAACAGAACTGATTTGAATTTCCATGTGTTTTAATTGAGGCTTTTACATTGTTTTTCAACTTTCCAAATTTCATCACATTCTTGTCTTCTATTAACCACCACTAATTATGTAGCACTCAGAGGCCCTTTCTCTTTAGCAGGAAAGAAGGTTAAATGAATAACTAGAACAATCCTATTCCCTTGGTGGATTAACTGTATTTTAAGTGGAATAGGTTTAAGTATTATATAAAGCCAAATGAACTTCTATTATTGCTTTGTTCTTGGTAGAACTGGTTTGTAAAAATTGTGCCATAGAAACATTTAAGCTTTAGTGAGGGAAACTATCAAAAAGACACATGTTCACATTTTAGAGATAAAGTTCATATATACTGGGCATAAGTACCTGTCCTGTGTTTCATTCTCATATGCATCTTTAAGAAATATTTTACAGCTTACTATATGCTAGGTACTGTTATAGACATTAATCATCACAACAA